AAATTGTCAAAACTTTATAGATAAGGAAAAATCAATCAAGCTTTTTCAAAGAAACTTACCGAAATCGTAAATTTTTGAAACTCAAGGACGTTAAATTATATTATACTTTAATCTGAAAGGGTTCCGGATATGACAACGACAATAACTCCTGGTAGATTTTATGAATAAAAATACCCGAGATAGGTCGACAAGCTTTTACTTACCAAATGGTGCAGTTGAAACTAGGCCAAACATAAAAGCAAAAACGACGCATACAGCTTGAATGTTCATTGTAATATTGCTGAATATTTCAGAACTGGACCAAATTTCCTTGAAAAAGGGAAGTAAACATACATGTACTTAAATTTAAGATTATCATTATAACAATACAATTGTGAATTATTTATTAAAGATAAAAGTGTGTTACATTTAAAATCATACCTTGTGATAAAATCTGGATGCTAAGAAGAAATGAACTAGTGATGACGATAGCTCTCTAGCCGGTGTTTTATACACAATCGAGTACAGGTTTTAAACGGAAGGATGATGTAATGACCTTATATTGTCGATTATGTTGTCATTCCGTTACTATTTATTACATTCTTAAGTCATGTACAGTCAATTAATTTATAGCTTATTTATAACACGAAACATGTTCTTCAAGGATTAGATAACCAATGTCAATTGGGATTGAAAAGGGGTAATGATTGTTCAGTCAGGTGTAAAATTTACCATAAATTATTGAAATTAGTTCAAAGGGCGTATAGCTCTATTCTTTGGAACCTTAAAATAAACACCAACGGGTCTAAAAGCACATATTAATGTAATGTGTGTGTATAAAATGTTTTACATTCATTTTCATTTCTTTTAATTTGTAATTTCTAATCAAATATGTTCGTACAAATACGTAAACAGTCAATATTGAACAACAGTCCATTCTACACATTTTACGGCAGCACGTATCGAACAGCTTTCATATGGAAAAGGTCCGTATAACATTGTCGTATTTTTACCGGGTTTTTTTTGGCTACTTTTAGACGCTAAAATGTTATATCATAGCGTTTTTATGAACCTATGTGTATCCTAGAACACAAAGGTGGATATTTGATGTGATTTTAACCATGATAAAGACTGGAATTTAATCATTATTTTTGATAGGTTTTTCTCCGAATTTTCATACTTTTCCTGTCTGTCTGCATTCTGGTTATTCTACGTGCTAAATGATTTTATTCTATGGTAATGGGGTATAAACATTCTGAAGTGATACACTAGTGAAACCAAAAATTGCTGTCTAGTTGAAGTCGAAGATCTTTAATAAGACCCGACATTATTTTTTTAATAGCTCAGCGACTGTCGAGCGACTTCAGTCCCTCTGGGAAATTGTAGGCCGGGCACTTGATTAGTACTGATGGGGATCTTGGTAGATATCTGTGATTATCGTGCTGTAATAGAACTAAGCTCAGCCCAGCGATGCATACGTACGCAACGCGAAAATCTGCCAAAACTATAAACTACATTGACGCAACGTATCACGTATACGATACGGATACGGGTGGAAAAAAATCCTCTTGCCAAAAGTCTCTATTCAGTTTTAATTACTTCCGCATGTTTTGTGGGATATGTTTTTCTTTGTAAATTACAAATGACGTTCGAAACCGTTGAGTACACGAGTCGTGTACTGATTTTAATTATACTGATTGAAATGGACCAATATTTAATTATATAATCCGTATTTTTAATTTTGAATAGTATGGATGATATTGAGTTAGAGGATTAGTCCCTTTAACTCCCACTAGGTGACAAACATACATTCCTATCTTCTGTATATGTAAGTGGACATGCTTACCGCCCGATAAAAATTAGATTTTAGATAAAGTTGTCACTATTGAATGTATATAGCTTTCAGCATGTAACGTATACCTTTCATCGAAATGTCGTCTTCGTAGATTGTTTAGTAATTTGCCGGCATGAAAATTTTCCAATGGTATTTTATTGTTCTGCTATTGCAAGGTATTATCCTTTCTTTTGATAGTTCACACAGATTTTCCGGTCTGGTTCTGCCTTGTCAGTGATGCAGGACGGAGGGTCTGACAAGGACAACTGTCTAGTCGATGGGATGGAACGAAAAACCTAGGTCCCGTCTACACATTGGCGTGCACGTAAAATATCCCTTGACAGTTGGAATTCGATAAAAGAGTAGGCCGTAGTGCCGCTGTCCGGGCAACATTTCCCTCATAACACACTGTATGGCGTATGCCAGTCTTCATATCATTATTGTTATAATGAACTTTTGGGATATATATCGATATTTAAATGTCTACACAGAACATGTTCATTATTGAAGGTAACGGGAGCTACGATGGCCTAGAAAGTTCATCGGTATTTTTTGACTAACAAGTTAGAGTGTATAGTTGTTCGGATGGGAAGAAAAACCGAAGTCCCGTGTACGTAAAAGATCCCTAGGCAGTTGGAATTCGATATAGGAGTAGGCATTAGTGCCCCTGTCCGGGCAAAAGTTTCCCCATAGCACACTGTATGATCTCAGTACGATAACTAAACTTCCCTTTACAAGAATAACAAATAGGCTATAGGCATTATTAATAAATTTCCTACCAATACGGAGCACTAGTCTATATTACTGCGTGACGTTTGATTACAAAGATATTCGAAATAGGCTGAACAGACCGAAGACAAAGACTAGAAAGCTCGGTAAAAAAGTAAATAATTCTAATAAATCTTTAAAAGTATATGACGATTATCCTCACAGCCATTTTCCCCGGGATAGTAGACGAGAGACCACTCCAGTAATTGTATATGATGTTGAAAATCAAATATACACTTCAGAATTCCATAATTTGGTCCTTCAACCAAAAAAAACTAACGTTTCTGATAGGAACCCCGAAGCGGCTCTGACCGCATGGTTGGCTTTCGTAGGACTCAATTGTAATTACACTCCATCAAAAACCCAGTTCAGAGGATATTATGTGAGCACGTCGGTGTATCTTTAAAACATGTTTCGGAAACCTTAAAGTCAGCGAAAAATACCACTTCATATACGGACGAAACTACAAAATTTGGCTCCAAATTAGGGAAAAATGCAATAAACCCTGACTCGACTCATACGCCAAATAATTGGTCTTCGAAATATAGTTGATAAATCTGCGCAAACTACTCTTGCAACTTTAACGGAAATTTTAGCAGATCTTGATGATATAGCTGGACCCATTAGGAAATCCGTCATTTTCGAAATTAGAAATATCATGTTATCCAGCAGGGAAAATATTTTTCAACACTTTATAAACATAATACAAATGCAATTTTTGCTATAAATTAGTAGAAAAACTGGTCCGAATTATCAGATTCAGGGCAAAACATTTACTTAAATATAAATTAGTTATTTTGCGGTCATCGGCTATGAAATGGTTTTGTCGATTAAAGTGTGTCCCAACTGTTTTTATTTACCTTTCAAGTTGTATCTCATGTCCCTCGGTGTTTCAAATTGTCGCTAACGCCATTTCATGGTAGCTGGTTTTATTTTTCATTTAGTTCTACATTACATATCTGTGTTTGGTAAATAATGACTATGTATTATTTATTATCAATCGATTTGTGAAATATTGTAACAGATTTTGTTTTCGGGTAAGATTTTAGTTATGTTTTGTTTGATAAAGTGAATACACCTCCGCGGAATAGGCAACCTTAAGTTTTAACTTAATTTATCTTGGAGGAAAACACGTATTTCTATCGTATAATAGCTGACATGATAATAGTGATTGTTTTTTTGTTTTGTTACACTGTACATATAAATGTATAGTATTTAAGGCTGTTGTAAAAGATGCCATGCCGTTATATTAAAGAAGATCCAACATACAAGCAGGTTCACGATAAGATGTGTTTTTGTTAATGTTATCGATCGCTTTCATCTGTATTAAGTTATAGGAAATGCATATTAGAATAATCAGCTTATTTATTCTTGTGTAAATGCTATACTACAAGATGGTACGTGAATTTAAACTTGTTCTTAATTATATAACTTCTAGTTTGTATTCATATTTATTTCTTTAATGGGGCATCAAATTTAAATTTACAGTCATGTCCACATATAAATACCAATATAAAAAGAACTATTGTCTATAGGTATACAGAAAATAAAAGTGCTCACACATTTAAACCAAATTGGGCTACACACTATAAGTACATGAACGCGGGAGTGGCTGATTCAAAACTTAGCTGTGTTATGCGCTTGCTGGGAGAACTGAGATTCAGTCGAATCTTGGAACAGATTTCGTCAGGTTGCAAATCAGGAAATATACGAATAGACCCGAATGTTAGTGGGTGTTCATATTTTTCGTTACAAAAATTCCGAATTTGGATAAACAAGAGAACGTAATTCCGTTAACATTGAAAACCCAAAACAATTATAATATTCAGATCGGTATAACTTAAGATATACAGCATGAAGGTACGTTTTATTGATAGTTCATGATAGAGAATTATCGAAGGTTATTGTATATAGATATAGTTCCATAACTTTCCATAGTTTTCGAGATTTTTTCAACTCGGGGAAATCTATAAATGGTTATATTGAAGCCAGTGGCACAAATTATCTGCGATATCGCCCTGAGTGGAAGCGGACGTTAAACAGTAAAAACAACAATAAGTGGCACGAAGGATGAAATATAGCTGACATTACACGAAGTCACGATTGAAAACGACACGGTATTGTATGTAATGTATTTTTTTTTTGGGGGGGGGGGTGTGTGACCACCATTTTAGGCTAAAGAAGAATAGTGTCACTCTTACGGGTTATACCACCACACCATGGTTTTAACATTAAATAAGCTGGCCCATTTATACCATTCGAATAGGAAAGGTTATAAATAAGAGTGTCCGAATATAATTATTTTAAATGCGGGTGTTGAAGGTCATGAAGTGAATTTGTATTCTCCAATCTTACCCCCGAAATGGACTAAGACTAGTAATTATTTCCCCTTATTTCATGATGGACGAATGTAGTGCGAGTTATAAATAGACAATTTTTCCCTTAATTTTTTTCTCCCCTCTTCCTGCATTTTTGGGTTGACTTTTTGGTCTAGAATTGGAGAAAAGGGATCAAATTTGCAATTTCATAGCAGTTTTGGGTAATACTGATGATATTACAGCGGAGGGATAGGGGGTGTAAAGTGTCTTTCTGCAGAGCAGTCATTGTGTCGGAAGTGAGATTTTCACCCCAGTCAACTTCAAATCCGTGTAGCAAAAAATCTAAATGGTCAACCCCCTACAAAATTATGATGAGGAGATTGCCAAATGTTGTCCCCATTGTGCCTATAAAGATTGGAACCAACGGAATGTTGAGAAAAAAGCTACAGCCTGTGATGTTACAGCCATTTAACATTGAAGTCAATGGGCAAATAATTGCTAGTCTGAGTCCTGATGAGATAAAGAAACATGGCCGACTCGGGATGTTGATATTTTTTCAAGGGCTTATTTCCTGAAGTTTTGAATGGAAAGTGTCAGAAATAGTAAGAATACTGCTTTTTTATTGCCCAGCAGTAAGTTTTTTGACTATTTGGTATCAAAATAGCCATGATTGGGGGTATCCGTTGGTTGAGTGTGAATTTTGGGTTGTAAATGTGTAACATTTTCTTCACAATGATATCAAAACATGGTTAGGTCTAAATATTAAGGCCAACTCAACTCCAGATTTGGTCTAAAGTCACGAGATGTAAACAAGGCTGACCCTAACCCTAACCCAAGACCCAGTCCTTACCCTAACCCTAACCCACAATCTTGTCAAAAAGCATGTAGCCTAGGCCTAAGCCAAGACCTAGTTCTGACCCTAGCCCAAACCCACAATTGTGTAAAAAAATCATGTGCCCTAACCCTATTTACATGTTGTGACCTTGAACCAAGTCTGCAGTTGGCCTTAACATTTAGACCTAACATGTTTTTGACATCATACAATGAAATGTTAACATGTACACTCCAAAATTCACACCTGTGTGACTTTTGACCAAACATGCAGTTGGCCTTAATATTTAGACCGAACCTCAAAACATGGCATCTACCTTTGAGATTGGCTTAGACTTATGTGACACTCAAGGTTTACTTTTTTACTGATTGTTAACTGGTTTCTTTTTGGAGGGCCAGTGACGGGCTGTTCGCGAGAAATAAAGAGGTTTATTTCTATTTCCAGTTGAAACCATATTTTTTTCTTATTTTCTCACTGTTTTTTATTGCATATTTATCCCCAGCCTCCTATCATTTCAGGTGCCAGGGCAATGTTTCATAGAGTGGAATGATTGACCTCAACACAAGTATTAAAAAAAAAGAAGCAAAACAGGTGAGATAAATGTGCATTTCATACACTTTAAGAAGTAAATCCAACCTCATCCCCACTTCTGCTCACTAATAGTAATGGGCTGGAAATTTGGTACTGCACAGGCCTGTCTTCTCCCCTTGACATTTAACTGAATGACAGAATTCCACATTTTGACCATTTTCTGGATGTCAATGACCATTTCCCTGGATAGTATTCGCCCCAGAATTCTTATTCTCATCCAAATTTAACATTTCAGGTCTACATCTTAAAACCTGATCTCTTCCTGGACTGGCTTTAGGAGAACGATGATGCATATCAATTTCATCCCTGATCTCTATGACACCTGTGGTGGAAGTGGAGGGCAAATCGTAATCAGTTTGGGACCTCTGTAAACTTTGCTTTTTGGTGATGACTTAATTTCCGAGCTTGAAAAGGACGCTTGTGTGTTTATCATGGCCTCTCATATTGGAAGATAACATTAATGGCTTGTGTGTTGATCGACGGTTGTGCATATCTCTTGGTCAGGAAAGTTGTAGGCACCATCGCCATTGTAAATCATTTGACAGGCTCGAGTGAACGGGGCGACCTATGATTGGTCAGCAATGTATCAGATTCCATACCGGGGGGTGGGGATGAAAAAACTGTTGTAGTGTTACATAATCAGATTATTTCAACTTACTTATCCTGTGGAAATACAGCTATATAGGAGATATTTTGAAATTCATAGGCACTGCATGTTTCAACATTTTAGATTTGACCACAATTTGGCACTTAAAACTATGTTAACAGAGAAAAACTGTGTGGTTTTCGATGAAAGTGTTAAAAGTCTAATATTGCATCATGATTACTGTTTTAAAGTATTTTCGTGTTTGATTTATATTGAATTCATCTCATCTTTTTGAAGAATGCATTTATGTTCAAAAATAAAAATGTTCTGTGGAATTCAAAATTCATGTGCTTTTAAATTATCAGATTCCAAACTGGGGGGTAGGGATGAAAAAGCTGTTGTAGTGTTACATAATCAGATTATTTCAACTTACTTATCCTATGGAAATACAGCTATATAGGAGATATTTTAAAATTGATAGGCACTGCATGTTTCAACATTTTAGATTTGACCACAATTTGGCACTTGAAACTACGTTAACAGAGAAAAACTGTGTGGTTTTCGATGAAAGTGTTAAAAAGTCTAATATTGCATCATGATTACTGTTTTAAAGTATTTTCGTGTTTGATTTATATTGAATTTATCTCATCTTTTTACAGAATGCATTTATGTTCAAAAATAAAAATGTTCTGTTTAATTCAAAATTCATGTGCTTTTAAATTTCTGTCTGAAATTCCGCAGTTTTCTGATGCATTATAGTGTTTGCAGAATGCCGCACAGCTCATCTGAAAATGCATAGATTTTCATATTCTTTGGTCAGGGAATTGCATATATGTTTGTTTATTAGATAACAACAGATTTGTTTAAACTGCAGAAACATGTGAGGTATATAGGACTAAGACTAGTAATTATTTCCCCTTATTTCATGATGGACGAATGTAGTGCGAGTTATAAATAGACAATTTTTCCCTTAATTTTTTTCTCCCCTCTTCCTGCATTTTTGGGTTGACTTTTTGGTCTAGAATTGGAGAAAAGGGATCAAATTTGCAATTTCATAGCAGTTTTGGGTAATACTGATGATATTACAGCGGAGGGATAGGGGGTGTAAAGTGTCTTTCTGCAGAGCAGTCATTGTGTCGGAAGTGAGATTTTCACCCCAGTCAACTTCAAATCCGTGTAGCAAAAAATCTAAATGGTCAACCCCCTACAAAATTATGATGAGGAGATTGCCAAATGTTGTCCCCATTGTGCCTATAAAGATTGGAACCAACGGAATGTTGAGAAAAAAGCTACAGCCTGTGATGTTACAGCCATTTAACATTGAAGTCAATGGGCAAATAATTGCTAGTCTGGGTCCAAATGCACGCATTCGAGTTATCCCCCTGCAGGTAACTGCCAAATACCGGACTACAGTCGAAACCAGTTTTTAATTGGGGACACGAAAAATGATCAATCGGTTAAAAGTTAAAAACCTGACCCATCAACACTTCGGTTTAGTTCGTGTTTATGTTGGGTTTTTTTACGCAGATGTGTCACTTTGTTAGCAGGCGCGTGTTTATTTTTGTCTCTTACATTCATGGAAATAACGCTGTTTCGGCTCACTCGACTGTTATTATACAGCGAATCTCCTACGAGTCTTTTTTGATATCAAAAAATATCAACACAAGTCGATAAAGTAAAGGAGATATCGCTGTGGATTATGAAATTTATCACACAAGCGATATCTCCTGTAGAATGTATTATTGGGTGATAAATACATGTACACACCTAAATGAGCAGAAATATTGACCCAAAGCGTCTGATTCTATGACATTTGCGGGTAGTTCCCCACCCCCACCCCGACCTAACGCCACACTTGACGCTGTCTACTCCTTAAACCTCTCGGTGCTCAAATTCCTGGACAGACCCCTGGTTAGATCTACTCTGATGCCCATAAAAATGATCATTTATAGAATACAACGCGTAATAACTATTGTATTTTATACTTCCATTGTCTAGGGTTTATCTTGTATTTTAAAGATGATGACATTATTGGCAATCAAATTAGGCTTCGGTCGGGTTCAGCCCTGTGATCATGGTTCACCAAAATAGTGTCAACAATGTAAGTCGACATTAAAATTGAATATTATTGAACACATTAAAAAAAGAAAACTTTTAACACGAAAATGATTTATTCATATTCAATAAAGTACAATAAATGATAAAATATATTTGAAAACAAAAACAATGTTGCGTTCCATTTAGAAATTCCTATCTTTTTTTTATCCAATTCACAGGGTACCATTTTTTATCCAATTCAGAGATTCTTCTTCTCCATCCAGTTCACATGAAACCACCATACATTTGCATCAGCATCTGTTGGTACATGGTATAGTAATTGGTCATGGCGCTATACATTGGTTGATAAAAACTATCGACTGAGTCGTTATCGTACATGTAAAGGGCTGAAATATAAAAATATAATAGCAATTAGTACAGCCTGTAGTACTGTATTTTTAAGGTCAATGGTCTGATTTACGACCTATTTTGTTTACCATTACATGTATAAGCGGGCCCTCTGGTTTCTTGACACGGTCCCTGTCACTATAGCTTGTTAGAATGTCTCGTCAACTTAATACATCGGTTAATTTGAGACTAACATTTACGGTTATTATGTATATTGCTAGGGGCGACAGTACCCGAGTCATTCTAGTCGATGGTCCACCACCAGCACCGCTTAAAATCTTAGTGTGAAAGGCGAAGAGCAATGTCTGTAAACACGCGATTTATTCAGTCTTCGATATCACAGAAAGTGGAAACGGACGTAAGACCTTAAGTAACAAGAAGAATAGTCTTCGACACGGTACATTTTAAAAAGTAATTTTATATCCTTACGGTAAACAATTGTGAAAGTAAGTAGCCGAAGCTAAAAATGACATTTGTAGATAATCTTACATGTGGATGATGTTCATGCTAGACAAAATACTAACCCAATGGAAAGCTGTTCACTGTAGACATTACAACAGCAAGTATCATTACAACAGCTAAAACCTTCATCATTTTTATGCCTGGAACCTGAACAAAAAATGAGTAATTATTTATATTAACTTTTAAAACATTGGTTATAACCTTGGAAAATGAACTGGAGTTTTTTAGTGTCCTACTTTTCTGCAGCAATTGACATATTGAAGAGGAATTCTGTAATATTTAGATAAAGAGATGGCCATTCTTGCTATAATAGTTCAAAAATAGATAATGCAAACTTAAATTGAATAATATATTGAAAATTTCATTCAAATTACTTTATTAAAAACGACGATATTAGCCTTTGAAGGTTTGACAAGACGTGTGCATTGATTGTAACTACCGCACTGGTTGTTCGAAGCTTAGTCTAGCTTTAAATCAAACTATAAAATGGCTGAACCGTTCTAATCTACTTAATATTGGAAATATCCGATGACATCGAGAGTTGATTATGGTCTTGTCATGTTAATACATGTCTAATTAAAAGATAATGTAACATTTAAAGTCTAAAGAAAGACCTGCAGTAGGCAGATTTAGCTCTTGCATAATGCCTGTTTAAAGACGGATTGTTTATTGGGCAAACTATAACAGAATAGTTGGTTAGCATTTTAAGTGAATTTTTAAAGCTTTGTTCTTGGAATAGCATATTTCCTAGTCATCGTAAGTACACTTATGAGCTCTCATACTAATATACTTTAAAATCTTTACTTCAAAATTGCTAAATTCATATTTTTTTTAATGAATTTTAAGTTAAAAAGGCATCAGCAAATTCACCTACAAACTAACTAGCATATTTCCTAGTCATCGTAAGTACACTTATGAGCTCTCATATTAATATACTTTAAAATCTTTACTTCAAAATTGCTAAATTCATATTTTTTAAATGAATTTTAAGTTAAACAGACATCAGCAAATTCACCTAGAAACTAATTATTGTTAATAAAAACATAATTTATATTGAAAAGAATCACTGGTGTGTGAACTTATATAGCACGGCGTCTCGACAAGTGTCGTTATCAAGCAACATGGCGATGATTGTTTCCATTTAAATAGTGTTGTGTTTTTTTTTATTGTGTTCTATAGCTAAATTCCACCGAAGAATTATAAATATTGTTAATCGTGAATTATGGCGGAGATAAGCCGAATTTTGTCTGTACAGTTAAACCATCGAAGTAGATCACCAAAACACGTGCACCTCTTCAAGCTCCAGACAATATTTACTCTAATTAACATAACTTACCGTCAAGCCGAAAAGAATGAAAGATCAAATCTGAAATATCCCAACGTATAATAAAGATGTATATTTAAATGCGGGTATTTATATGTTCTTGGAGATACATCAAAGAGAGGATCCATCACGCAAATGATGTACACATAAGTAGATCGCTACTATTATTAAAAAATGTACGTGTCATTTTGACTGACAACATTCATATTTGACCTAGCCAAACCAATTAGTTAAAGAGAAAATGCCATAGAAATTCGATGTCAGCTACCAAAAAGTGGTCAAATTATGAGAACTTGACCTCTGAATCATACTCAAATATTTCAGTTAGCTTATACACAAAATCAAAAAATTGTTAAAGAGGACAGACAGTGGCATTTTTAAGAGTCAACACCATTTGTAAATGACACATCTATTTTAGGACAGTTAACAGAGAAAAATTGTCATGCTGAATTTTTAGTTTTAATATCGCTAATCAAACTTTCAACCAATTTGGGTTTCTGAATTCAATAAAATAAAATGTATGAAACAAAATGACAATTCTTTACTTTTCTACACAATAAAAACAATATGGTGAACACGAGTTTAACGTCCACTTAACACAAACCTAAGTCATTTCGAAGCTCAGATATGGTATATTATATTGATTTCAATTATTGTCTTGCGGCCAAGTGTTTCTAGTATTGGAATGAGAAATTTACTTCTAGAGTTATTTTATTTGTCCATCTTCTTTTTAATCTGTATAGTAATGATTTTCTTTTAATAGATATATTAACTCAACCTTTTTTACATGGCGTTTTCTTGGATTTGCTTTCATTTTTCAAAGTTTTGCTGTATTTACATAACTCGTTAAACTCAAATACTGGACGTTACCTCAGAACTAGTGTTCAAAGTTATGATCGCTCTGTGTATTATCTTGCACGCTCTAGTTATTATCTTTTGTGTTAGATATTATCCGGGTATTATGCTAGCATTATTTTGGTTAAAGAAGCATTGTGTAAGATTTAGATAAAGAGATGACCTTTCTTGCTATAATAGTTCAAAAATTAATTATGAAAAATGACTATATTGAAAATTTCATTCAAATTACTTTATTATGAGCGACGTTATCAGTGTTTGAAGTTTTGACAAGATGTAGGGTAATCGTATATTATCGTAGCAAAGGTACCTGACGATCAAAACTAAGCCTCGGTTATTATCTCGGCCAACCGATGATCTAGAAAGTGGAATATAGGCTCGGTATGTGAATACATGTCTAAATAATAGTTTATATTACATTTGAAGTCAAAATAAGGCCTGCAATGGACATATTTAGCTCTTACATGTAATGCATCTGTAATTACTAGCTGTGTCTGGTTCAGTGCACTCCGCCACACCTCGATACACCGCCGCCCCTCTTAAATTACAAGGGAGCTCGTAGATCCACATACACATTATTA